AAATTCACACATTCAAATATCCACTAACCCTATTCAAATTCATCCCGAGAAAAAAAAAGTCTCTCTCAGCCACATCTCTTCCTCCAATTCAAATAGCTGAACACCGGTGGGAAGGTATGCAAACCGGCACAATCCATAACGCTGTATTCTCTCTAGCAGGGAAGGCCATGATGAGGAGATGCCGGAGATGGGAGGGAGTCTGGGAGCCTGCGGCATGCCGGCTCAAAGCTAGGCGGCTGCTCGAAAAGCCTGAATGGAGGCTTGCTCGGGGGGACGCCCGGGGGGACAACCCAGAACAATCCCTCAGCCCCTTCCCCCTCCCTTGCTGCCTTACCCTCAGGAGAGCTTTGCCAGTCTGAGCGCAGAGAAGGCTAGAGCATGGAAGCACCGACGGGGACTCACGGGTTCGGTTCTGGAGCTACAGCTACAGTACAAATGCGTTCGTTGTAAAAAACCAAATCAAACCAACAAACTATATGGGAACTGCAGACCGTTGCTAATTTCCAATATGTTTCATGCACATATCTGCTGGTACCAATACTGATGGAAATACACAAACGTTTACAAAATGTAGAACTGTTTCTTAGCATTACTGAAAATATAACATTTATTTCTAAGGTTACAAATGCAATGAAAATGTATAAAATGCAGATAAATTGCACTGTAGCCCAATGACATCTAAACAATCTGCTTTTTTTAAGAGTACAGTAAATACATTATCAAATACTGGTTTGAAACATCTGTCAAATCTAAATATCTGCCCAATCTCAATCATATTTTTAAGCAAATCTACCAAGAACAACATGATTCCAATGCATCCCCACAACAAACACCAACAAAACCAAATGCTGGGTTGGTGTGTTTTTGTTTTGTATTTGATTTAATTATATTGTATTGGCAAAACCCTTAGGTGGCACTGAGGCATTAAGCAAAAATATCTGCACTTTTATTCATTTTACTGCATTAGTAATCCTCTGTAAATAAATGCTACATCTTTCTATAAAATATGTACATTTTATAAAACGCTTATGCATCAACACTGGCATATGTGCATATCAGATCTCCGCACCAGCCTATAAATCCAGTCAATTTACTACATGTTATTTCCACATCGCCCACTCTTAATAGCGAATATGACACACAGCTGATAGGACACTAGAATTTCTATTAGCCTCCATTCACCACATCTTCACCTGGACACACTGTTTCTCTGTGGGGAGTCTTGTACACAAGGCAAGATTAAACACAGGTCAGGATGCTTGGCCTGCAATGTAATGCCAGGTGCAGTAGTCACAAAACGCTATTCTCTAATCCCCCCCCTCAAACCACCCACCATCCCCCATGCTTAGTTGAGGCCATATGCCACGTATTACGAAAACGACAGAGAGGGAAATCGGTTCGTCGGGACAAGCATGGAGAGACGTGACATCCTTCGTTTATGAGAAATTAGAAAGCTGACAAATTAGAGCGCACGTAATGACGGCCGGGACGCCAAAGTCCTGCGGTGGAACCGTGCTAATCGATGTGTCGCGACGGCGTTCTCAAACCCAAAAAAATGGGACCCCACACTGGGTCCCCCCAACATCAAAGAAATCACCCCAGAACGCAGTCCTTGAACACACCTGACACGTCGCCCGAGGCCCTCTGACAAAAGCCTGTGTTTAAACATGAATGAAGCCGGGCCACAAGTAACCACCCTTCAAAGGGACAGTTAGGAAATCGCGTTTTCAACCGTTCCATCAATTATTCAGCGAGCACACATGGACAGGGGGAGCGAAGCTGCTTGGGAGGGGGATGCAAGAAGTTTGACACAACTTCCAGGATGAACACAAAGGCCGCATCCTTCCGGCAGCGTTGGAGAAGGAAGAAAGCAAGCGGAATTGATTTGTCAAAAGCAGTTCAAATCATTACCTGATACAACTGTTCTTTAACATTCACGTGTACATTTAAAGCCTCAAAACCTGCCTCTCAAATCCAGCTCTACTGCTTTCCTTACACAACCCCACCTGTACTATCTGATGAGCAAGATGATGGGCAAACAAGGGTTCAGTAAAAGACTTAAAGTAGAAAGTGCCACCGAAAAAGATAAAAACATGCATGAGTAACGTTCTCCATGCGAAGAGGTTCCAAATCATGCACAAATTGTAAATATCCACGGTTTTCTAAAAACATGCTTTATAATGACTTGGCTGGAGAATATTTTTTTGGCACTCTTGCTCTAATAACTTCTAAAATGACTTCTACGTATATGTGCTTTCTGTAGATCCGCTATGCTCCTCCAGGACTGAATCAGCGTTAAACTCTCACAGCACAAACTACAATGTGTGAACTTTCATAGCATTGCGAGATGTTTAGCTGTGACATATTAAATCATTCAGGGCAGATCTCCAAGCCCAGCTTAGTGAGTGGAGGCACTGGTAACACTGTATCTGTAAACCAAGGGAGTGTGTAAGTGTAAACATTCAAAGCTGAGAGTCTAGCACGCAGCGGGTTACAGCGCCACTGTTTTAAAGAGGGGAAAGCGCTCCATCACCAGAAGACTTTCTGGAGGACTGAGAACTTCTTGAAACTTTCAAACACAAAGCAACACTGTGGGCTGGTTTCATGGACAGGGATTAAGCTTAGTCTTGAACTAAACAGCAAAATCAATAGCATTTCAGCGTTACCGAAATCACACTTAGTCTTCGCTTAAAGTTAATCTGGGTCTGGGAAACCGGTCCTATGGCTTTCCTGGAACAATCGGAGAGAGAGTGACTCTATTAACTGTAAATACAACACAGTTTAGGTGCACAATTCCAGTCCAGGAGGGCCGGTGCCCAGCACAGTTTGGTGGCTTTCCTGATCAAACAAACCTGATTGGACACCTCTGTTAATTGCCAGGTTTAGTGGGGGTGTTTGAGCAGGAGAAACACCAAACTGGGCCCCCAAACCGGAGGTGTGCACCCCTGGTTTAGGCGCCCTCCTCGAATAAGTACTGCTTTAGGATCATCTTAACTTTCTTAGATTAACTATCACTTCGCCTACTTCACTTCTTTACAATTAACCTTTGGAGAAAAAGACCCCAGCACCATAAAACTGGCAAGTTTCTGCAGTTGAGCTCAAACTCACAGGTGCCTAACTCTATGAAACCGATAAGCGCCCAGGCCACTCGTGAAGTGAGTCTACACTGGCCTTAATTATATGCACCACTGCTGTTTCCCCCGAGTTAGAAGACACATGCAAAATGTCACCACCGTGACCGATTTAAGATGCTCAATGAAGAATAGGTTTTCAATTACATTCTCAGAAAACCTTTCAGACCCCCTCCAAGTTCGATCACGGCTCACGCTTCCCCTCGTCCCTGCTGCAGTTTCAGCGCACTCCCAATAAACGTAATGGAGCCACAGCACACTTTGACATCCATTTCCACGAAGTGTGCCTAACTTTAGACACATTCAGCTGAGCAGCAGTGAAAGCTGGGACGCTCGAGTCTAGTCAAAAAAGTATGCAATAAAAAAGAAATACATGGTGGTGAAGCAGGTTGTAGAGCTGAGACAGGAGGAGGACATCAGCACAGTAACAACAACGAAGGCAATGTAGGCTTCGTCCTTCAGCCAAAGATCTACAGCCAAGCCTAGACAAGCTGGACAAAGCGTGTTGCAGTGATACAAGAGATAAATGGGAAATGCTTATTGTGGTTCAGCACCACTTCAGCTTCAAAAGACAAGAACATGCGTGAGTTCAGGGCAAAGCCGTTCAGCATGCAACAGTCGCACACGTGAGTTTTTAGTGCGTTTAAAATGGGAATTCTAGTGATTTTGATGAAAAAATGTCTGCATAATTCAATCGTTCAGAGGTAAACAGAGTCACTGAGAGTGGTTTGATATGAAAGGGTTCATTGTAGAGAAACGTACCAATTCTTACGTCTTTACAGTGGTGGTGACTGGAACCAGGGGTCAGAGTGTCTACGATGCAAATATAGGCATTTTATGCACCATCCAAAATGACCAGTGAGTCTACACGTCTTTATGATTATAGTAAAAGAGTGGTAAATCTTGATAAGCTTTTCTTTGCAAACTATTTTGCCTCACAACACCCTGCAGTACCTCTCTGCCCCGAGTAGACCTTAAAAAACACAATTTATGCCTCTCAAAACTATCATAAAACTCTTTCATATAATAGCTTCCTGTGAGGGAGCTTCTTTTAAAGGTGGACGTCTGGTTCCTATCACCACCACTGTGAACATTTCCAACTCTAAGTTTCCCCAGAGTGGAGCATTTCACACCAAACCACTCTGGATGACTTTGTTTACATCTTAGACACTGAATTATGCAGGAATTTTGAAAAAAATACGTGGAGTTCCCCTTTAAAACGAGACATGATGTTGTGAAGAATGAGAAAGAGAAGCTCCAAGCATCCAAGCATCCATCCTCATGCATTGTTCCCGGGTGATAGGAGGAAAGGAGGAAAGAAGGAAAGGGGGAAACGTCCTGGGGCAGCTTCTCGACATGAGGAACCACATTCACCCACTTCTTTTTGTCTTTTTTTTGGCTACAAATGTGTGAAACTTGTGAGAACCGAGCGCTGAAAACAAAAAAATCCTGTCAGGTTTAACGTTAGCAAGGATAGCTAGCACAAACACAACAAGCTGAGGAGAAGTGAAGGAAAAATAAAGAAGAGAAGAAGGAGAAGGAGAAGAGATAACACGAGCCAGGGGTGAAGACGAAATAAAAGAAGGTTTGGCAAAGAAATACTAAACTAAACACACAAGTTTGGAGGAGTTAGACGGCTTGTTAGGTGAACTTCTCGGCAGAGAGAAAGTAACGGTCAACGGTCGCTCAGGTAACGAACGTTAAAGCGGCTGAAGTTCGAATTTTCCCGTTCCACCTTAAATGGCGCAGCAGTTACACTGTGGCGCCTGGTGCCAGAACGTAGCTGCGGCAACCATTTAAGGTGGAACGGGGAAATTCGAACAAGGCGCTGGCGAATAAGTGAGAGAAGGAAAAAAAAACTCCACTTACTTCTCCCTCGCTTGGCTATCGGACGGCACGACAGCTCCTTTACCTTTGGCGTACATGTTGGACTCTGCTTTCAAGACTTTTTTCCTTCTTTACCCTCCCTTACTCGACACCTGTCAAAGAAAGCAGGCAGGAAAGCGCTCCATCTCCATAGCTACCCTCCTCGTAGTGTTTTTGCCTCCTTCTCCTTTTTCTCCCCCCTCCTCTAGGTTACATCTCCAACATCGGCCACAAATCAGGCACAGTTTCTACTGAGGGGAGGTGGAGGGGGGGCTTGAAACCGTCCACTGGTGGAGCTTTCTTTTCTTCTTCTTCTCAATCGCTGTTCCAGGATTGCGCTCACCCTCCCCCCGCTGTGGGGACAGAGGGAGGGGCTTCTTAAAGGAGAACGCACACCGTTCACCATTCACCATTATCCACGGCTGCTAACTTTTTCCATGCCGTTCCTTCACAAACTAGGCCTTAACTCCTTCAAAACGTGTCCGTGAGAACGTCTTTGTGCCATGTTTGCAGACCTAAAGGGGAATTCCATCGGTTTTTTTTTTTCAAAATTTCCACACAATTCAGTCGCTGAGAGGTAAACAAAGTCACCCAGAGTGGGTTGATGTGAAGCGGTTCACTGTAGAGACTCAGTGGTGGTGATGGGAACCAGGGAGATGTCTACGACACAAACATGGACATTTTGTTTACTATCCAAAAGCACCATTGACCCTACACGTGTCTTCTGAGTTTCTATATGTAATAAATAGGCAAAATAGTGGTCAATCTGAAAAAAATAAGTTTCCTTTAGGGACTATTTTGCCTTATAACACCTCTTCTTGTATCCTTCCACCATGAGTGGATTAAAAAAAATAGGTTTTAAACCAAAAATTCATCACAAAACTGCTGTAAAACACCAGGCAGTGATCATTTCATGTAATAACTTTCTGCGAGGGAGCTTTTAGAGGTGGACGTCTGGTTCCTATCACCACCACTGTAAACAATTCTGACTCGGCAAGTTTCTCTAGAACAAAGCATTTCACAATAAACCACTCTGAATGACTTTATTGACATGTTATCCATTTAATTATGCAGAAATTAAAAAAAAAAACAGAGGAGTTTCCCTTTAAATGGCTCATTTCAGTAAGTTATATCACTGTGTTTTAAAATTAGAAGCAAAACACAATCGAAATCAATGTTTTAAACATAGGAGCACTCGGGTTTGTGGTAAAATCTCTACAAATGGGCTCAGCTCAGCAATAAGAGGCGGCTCTTTTGACCCCTAAACAGCCCTTTGTTCAGTACTTTTTTACTGAACTCATCTTATTCTACCAACTAAGTAGCAAAATGGCATTATAGGCATGTTTCTTATAAAAACTGATAGGCAGCCTGTGGTTCAGAGACCATCTAGGTAATCTCAGTTTCTTCCTCTTTCATGCTGTATGCATTCAAATAAGTTACGTGATCACTAGATATTAAAGATATTTGATATATTTGTTTATTCCTTCCTGCTTGTTTGCATTACCTCTGATTTTTACATTGATTTAGAGCATTTAGTGCCTAACGTTCCACACTTAGCGAAGGAAAGCTGGTCTATGCTGTATCAATAATCCATCAAATAGCCTATAAATTGTAGGCCATGGCTGTTTATTGCCTGCTACCCCAAAGCTCTACACCAGGGGTGTCAAATCCTTTTTCAAAGCAGGCCGAGTCAAAATACCCGAGGGCCAAAATATTATTCACAAAGTGAATTTTCAACCTGTCAGCCTAGAATCAGAGCTTTCTGTGAGACACCGTGTTTCCTATCACTGCATAAAAGATGCACAAGGCTTCTTTTATTGTTGGATTGATCAGAGCAATTTGGATTGGCAAGAGCTTATAACAAATGATTAAAGTGTTTAAGAGTGACAATAAAACGTCTAATGTTTTAAGGATATTCCTGTTGAAGTGTTTACTTGTTTGAAAATATGATTTGTGAGACAAACTAAACAAAAATCTATATATTTTTGGTTGTGTTAGATTGTGTTCTTTACATATCAAACAAAAACAGCAACCACATTCATAAACCACTTTATTAAATGAGAAGAGCAGATCAAACAGCATAAATAGCCACATTATTGTTCGGCCATAAAGGGTTTAATATTTACCGAACGCCTGAGTTTGCTCTGATAAGAAGTTGGTGCTGTGAGACTCTGGTAGCTGCAGTTGCTTTAGTTTCTCCTCTGAATATTTATTAAAACGTCTATGCTTTGTTTAATATCTGTTGATATTAAATTCATTCCAGTCTTTTGACACATGAGGCTCACATTTGCTGTGGCTCTCGTTGAAAAAGTATTCAAATTTCCATCTCGCCAAAATCACCAGTTCTCAGTGTTAAGTTTGTGCTTTATGGCTGTAGCCTTGACTAAATGATGTTCAGTAAATTAAGCTGCAGGTCTATCCAGAGAAGAAAGGCTCCTAAACCTTAGCTAAATTTGTTACCACAGTGCAGCACCATTGCTGCCACCATCAGGTGAAAGGAAGAACTGCAGTGTACTGGCTGGAGGGCCACTTACAGCACACTCTTAAACAGAAGCAAAAGGCCAATTAAAATCTGTCTGTGGGCTGCATTTGGCCCTGGGGCTGGATTTTGGACACTCCTGCTCTACACAATACCATCATAACAAGCAGCAATGCAGTCTGCTAATGCTACTTAGACTATACACTGAGTCTAACAAATATCTCAGCTTTCTTGCTAGATTTGGCTGTAGACCTGAAGTCAGATACAGATGAGAGGTTTCACTGAATGCATTTCAAGCATGTCATAGGATCGGACAGTTTAACGGTCATAGGATCGGACAGTTTAACAGTCATAGGATCGGACAGTTTGTCTTAAAAAAATAATGGCTCTTCAACACGAGTTGGCTCCCGATGTTCACCTCAAAGAGCCGACGTGTCCGCAAACAACACATCAGTATTACAAAGTCCCTAGTTAACACGAGGTAGTCGAACTATCCCTTTTCTTAAATTCAGCTGCACCACAAATCCTTGGTTTAATGATATGTAAACCTGAACTTGCTGAGCACCTACGTTATATATAGCCTAAGTTTAGAGTTGTGTACAGCTGTCGCAATGAGGTCCAGGTGACCAGTGTCATAGCTAGAATCTTATAGGGCTCAGTGCAAAAAAAAGAATGGCACCCATATGAAAATCACTGTAACGTTCACCACCATTAAAAAAGACAAAGCTTTCGCACAAGTTGTGGTGCTTTATTCTCCAGCTGTTGTAAGCCACAGCTACACTGTAGATAAGCAAAGCTGTTCTCTGATTTAACTCATGCCTCTCTCTCATTTTCTCTCTTTCTCTGCCCTCCTGCTAACGCCCACCCACACACACCTCCCCTGGGCAGTTCCTAGCCCCACCCTCTCAAATAAGAGTCCCAGTGTATAAATGCGGGAAAACATATAACCTAAAACTAACAGGTCGAAAGCATTTCTTGAAAATCAACTTATGAAAAAGCCAATGTAATTTGCTTTACTCTCAGTCGTCATTAAACCCCTGAAGTCATTCGTAATTTTGTAGTCGGCATCTTGACCATATTAGGAAATACAGATCCGAGCTGGTTTTCACTGTGATAAAAATTCATTCTGTCTCCAAAAATTGACGCTATCTCGTCTTTTTGTAAACAAAGATATTCTAAACCAGATACAGTTTTTCCCTGAGTGTCAATGTGTCCTCTAAATCATGAGTTTGTTTAGCCCTGCAAAATATGAATATTGCTACAAACATGCTACAAGCAAGCTAACAACTCACTGAAATGATCTTGCATGAAATGAAATCTACTGTAAAACTACAATACTGTTAAATACCAACACCAGCCACTCAATCTGTAGCCAAAAACCACCAAAGCAACTTGACTGCCACATTTGACAAAGCTGATTAGTATTACTTTGGGATGTTTTGGCAAAGTTGCCAGTCACAAAGGTGTAAACAATCCTGCAGTTTAAGAACTTGCCATGAATCTGACATGGACTTATTTTTATGACCTTTCTCAAGAACAAATTTGAGAAAAAACTTAGGACGATTTGGTGAATGAGGCTCAATATTGGTATTTCAGCTCCTTAATGACCTCATAATTCAGAGAATCCAGTAATAATCAGAGGAACAATATACGTACAGAAAAACGTATCAGCTTTGGAACATTTTAGTTTACCCCAGTGTGCAATAGCAGCAATTTTAAAAAACACTGCTCATTTTTCTCATTGAGAAAACAAGCTTAGCCCCTTCGTTCCTAGTCATACCATATTGGTGTGACAACGACTACAGAATGACGACACAACTCCAGAGGTATATGTCTCAGACTAGTTGATGCTCTCGAGACATGTCACTCCACCTAAACATCTCATGTTAACCTATATCTTATGTGAGGCCACCTATTCAAGATTTTAGGGTAATAAATAATGGATTTAATATGTTGCAGGTTGTGAAGAATAGGTTTAAGAAAACAGCTAAAAATAAGCTGCATTCTGAGATAAATAGGGAGATAAATGGACATCAGGGCTGTCTGTGGAGTGTTGATTGAAGCTAACTGGTGAGGTATGTCGTTAAGAAATTGGATCTTTCTGTAATGGGTGTGTAATTGTGTCATTATTGATATGAAGGGTCCAATAAAGATGTTAGGGAGCCCATTTACAGTTCACCATGGATGGAGCCCAACCAGGTTCCTTAGGAGTTATGCCATTGCTGGCGATGTTGGTCTTCTGGTTGAGAAGCTCTTCTCATGACTGGCAAAGGTGGATTTGTGACTGTATTCCATCTTAAACCATCGTATTTTCCTGAATTATGTAACGCAAGAAAATCACCTCTAGGGATAAACAATGTTTTGACACCCTAAGCTCTACTGGCCCAAAGCTCCAGAAGATTCAACACTAGGCCTACAGCCAGTGTTTTGTTTGCCTACATGCCCTACATGTTTTGTTTGCCTCGTTTACAGTATGTTTAATGCACATCGGATGAACGAGTTCCTTTTCGGAAAAATCTACTCCCCAACTTGCACCTGAAAGCAGCATTGTTAAAGATGTTAGGATGACTGTAGAGCACAATGGCAGGAAAATGAACGGCAACAGAAAACATCGCAACACATAAAGACGCTAGTTATATGACTCGCAACTGGACGAACATGAAGCTTTTGCTTTCCGCAGTCATACAAAACACACCAACACAAAATGTAATTCATCTTGCCCATCTCGCCTTGTAGACGGTAAATCAGTTCCCTCAGACGGCGTATACCTGGGTAGA